CAAAAAAAAAAAAACCTGGTTGTGCCTCCATTTCCATGTTCCTGTTCGAGTTCTGTGTGTCTGTTCTTGGGCTCCTCCTCTGAGCGGGTCCGGACACCTGCCAGGCCCCTGGTGCTGGGTTAAGTGAGCTCCTGTGTCTGCAGGGGCCACGTTCACTCACCCTTTTGGGAAGCCACCCCCTGACCGCCCACCACTAGCACCCGAGGAACGGAGTTTGGGGTCCAGGCAGACCTTCTCCTCCAGGGCGTGGGGTCACACCAGGGCTCCACCTTCAAACTGTGCAGGGGCCAGGGGGTGCCGGTCCCCAGGCCGCCCAGCCACTCTGTCACGTTTTCCTGTTCTGTTCTGACTGCATTTCTGCTATAGCTCCCAATGTCCACACAGTCGTCTTGTTAACCATTTGTCACCTGTATGTAAGGGCCTGCTCTGCTTCTCCAGGCACTGGGGACTTGGCCCCGCTTTGGACTTAAACCCAAATGTGACCATCGGCACCTGTTCCCCCGGCCCCCAGGCGGCGCTGGTTTGTCGTAAACTCTGCCGCGTGGAGAGAGGCCGACAAGAGGCGTCAGGAGCCAGCGGCTGTGGAGGTGAGAGGTGGTCGTAGTGGGAACATGTCTTGAAGCTTGGGTGTGAGGCCGAGACCAGAGTAAGGGACCCCCCAAGTTTTGGCCAGAGCTTCACTCTACTTAGGGATGCCGTTTTTGACCACATAGGGAAACCCTGGGGTGGGGATCGGTTTGGGGCCAGGAGGTAGCAAGGTGTGCTGCTGGGGCGTTAGGTTTGACATAGCACCAGACAGCCCAGGAGAACTGAAAGCTGTACCTTCTGGAGTCATCGACGCAGGGATGACATGTAAAGCCATGATGAGGTTGCCTAGGAGCGGAAGCAGGGACCCTGAGGCCCAACCTGAGCCTGGCTCTCCAGCGGCAGAGGCCCGGGGAAGGGGAGAAGCTGGAGAGCCGGGAGAGAAGGTGGGGGGTCTGTACACCAAGCCCCAGGGCTTGACTGCAGGGTGGGGGGTCAGGGGCTGGCTGTGCCCTGAGCAAGACGGAGGCTCTGGGCAACTGGACCTCATCGTGGGGCAGAGGAGACAAAGCCCCACCAGAGGGCCACTTCGAAGGCCCACTGAGCTCCCTGCTGCTTGAGGAACTGCTTCTCCTGCAGGGACTGGGCTCCCAGGCTCTGTGTTTAGGACGATGGTGACTGTGGGCCTCTCCCTGGGTGAGGGGAAGCTGTTCCAGGATCCCCCGAGCCTCCTCCACGGGGAAGGTCAAGACTGGGAGCTGAGTCTGGGGGACCCGCACAGGCCCCCCACCCGCCTGTACCTGTTTTATTTCTCAAACGGTTCAAAGGAGCAGTTTCTCAGGTGCCAGGGGTCCCGTCTACACCCTCACTGGTGCCACCCTGTCCATGTCGGGTCAGAGACCCTCCCAGAGCAGGACCCAAGGCTCCCCGGGGGTCCCTGGCCCCCACTCAGGCTCACCTTCTAGAGTTCAGTTCTCAAAGCGCAGCCCCGGTCTAGCCGCCTCACCTGGAGCCCAGGGGACACCCAAACCCCTGGGCCCTTCCCCAGACCCCCGACTCAGGAACTCGGGGGGCTTCTGGGGTCCATGCTCTACACACCCTCCGGGGAATTGTGACGCAAGTCCAAGCTGCAGAACCCTCGGTCCAGGCCAGGGGCCAACAACCTGTGACTCTGCCTGTTCCTGGAAATAAAGTTTTACGGCAACAGAAACACCCCCTCATGTTCGTCCTGTGTGTGGGAGAGGCCAGGGGAGGACCGTGAGCAGGACCCCAGTGACCACACTTGGGTAACAGGCCCGCAGGGGTTCAAGGGAACCCGGCACTCTCAGTCCGCATCGCGAAGCCACTCCCAGGCGCAGGCTTCCGCTTGCCAGGCATCACCTCCGCCTTGACGCTGGTGCCCCAGCAGTCCCAGCAGCTCCAGAGAAGCTCCACGAACAGCAGCCACGCGTCCAGAGGGCACACCGGGTGCCACCACGTAGGCCCTGCTGATGGGAGCTGGCGTGGGCAGGACACCCTGGAGTCCTCCAGGAGACACAGGCCCACGCTCCCCGAGGCTCCCAGAGCCAAGTGCTGCGGATGCCGGAGGCACGGCCCCTCCAGCCCCTCCGTGCACCATGGGCCCTGAACAGACCCGCGTGGTGCTGACTGCGGGCCCGGCCCTGTCGCAAGCACCTTGCAAACCCTGCTTTATTCCTCATTCCCTGCACCGAGGCACATTCCCTTCCCGCTAGCCCAGTGAGGGAACTGAGCCCCGGCCTGGGCTGCACGGCCGTGGGCTGCACGCGGGGCCCGTGGATGCCGTGTGGAAGCAGGCTGGCCCGGGCCAGGCCCAGGGGCCGCTCTGAGTAGCTGGGGTGGAAAGTGAGGCCGGTGGTCTGACAGGAAGCCTGCGGGCAGAGCAGGGAACAGAAAAGTGCAGGGACCCGGGGCGAGTCCTGGAGGCAGAAGTCCAATCCGAGCCCCTAACTCGGTGACACAAGAGACCCAGCACGCCCCCCACAGCCCCTGAAGACACAGTGTACCCGCTCCTCCCTATGACCCGCGGTCACTGGTGGGAGTGGACGCTGGGTGGAGGGCAGGTGGGGAGATGCCCCCAGACCCATCAACTGGGGGAGGGGCCTCCGCCCCTGTGCCCACTGTGCGGTGACCTCAGGACGCTGTCCGGCGCCACAGGGCGGCGGCGAGGAGGGGAGACACAGGAGTCCAGTGCAAGTTCTGCCTCAGGCCGCCTGACTGCACCCCTCTGAACTTAAACACAGCATCGAGCCACCCGCAGGCCTCCGGGAGGCGGGTGGGACGGGCCCACCGGGCACTGCAGGATCGAGAGGCGGCCTCGGCACCCTGTACGTCTTCAGTTTCTTTGTCCTTGGTGAAGAAGGCCCCCTCAACTAACCCAATGTGTCTGGGGTTACTCTACTTTTCGGGCATGCGTATTCTGCCCCTCCAGCCAGGTTCAGCCGCACAAACGGGGCCCAGACCGAGCCCAGAGAGTCAGCGCGTTCTGCCTGTTCTCACCAGCTGTGTGCCACCTGTGGTCTGCACACTCCGGGTCGAGGCTGGTACCCGGCTGCCTTGGTCACGCAAGGCGGTGTGGCGGGCCCTCAAACAGGCCACTGGAACAGGACAGAGTCCAGACGCAAAGCTTCACGCGCTGGTAGGTGGAGGCGCGACACCTGCCCACCCGGCGACCATGCGAGGGAGCTGTGTGCAGGGTGTCTGTTAGGAGGCGCTCTTGGGAGGGAGGCGGGTGGGCCTGTAGTCCACTCCCAGATCTCAGCCAGCCCCGGGGCCTCTGGGATGACCTTTGGAGCTGTCGGAGTCAGAGCCAAGGTGCCTTCGAGCCCCGCGTGGATCAGTCACCGGACCCACACTTTGTCGGGAGCACAGTGTGATCGTGGGTGGGCAGTGCTTTGTCCTGCAGCAAATATCCCCAAAGAGGCCCTGCCCACTGAGGGCCATCGTCCAGCAGCTAGAGGGGGGCCCAGCAGTGTCACAGAGCCCTGCACCTGCCAGTGGGACAGGGAAGTCTTCAACGATCGAACCAAACGTTCACATTGGAACAAATAACCGCGGCCCTTATCTCTCCACACACACAAGCCAATCTGATACGGGCCATAAGCCAAACACAAATGCTGAGAGTATAAAATTCACAGAAGAAAACACTGAAGGATTTCTTTGTGACCTGGAGTCAGGCAAAGACTTCTCAGTTAGGAAACTCAAGGCATGAACCATAAAACTTTTAAACTGACGAGATAAACTTCATCAGAACCCAAACGGCTAGTCATCTAAAGACATTGATAAACAATGAATAGACCACATACAAAAACTCAAGATAGATTAAGACCTCAGCATAAGACCTGAAATGACAAAACCAGAAGCAAACTCGGGGAGAAGGTTCTTGACACTGGACTCAGCAGTGATTTCCTGGAGATGATGCCAAAGCGCAGGGAGCAAAAGAGAAGCCGGGTGACATCAAACTTAAAAACTTTTGTGCAAGGGGCACCTGGGTGGCTTGGTCCTTTGGGCCTCAGACTTCAGCTCAGGTCGTGATCTCGCAGTTTGTGAGTTCAAGTCCTACATCAGGCTCGCTGCTGTCAGCTTAGAGCCCGCTTCGGATCCTCTGTCCCCCACTCTCTGCCCACCCCCTACTTGTGCTCTCTCAAAAATAAAACATTAAAGGGGCGCCTGGGTGGCGCAGTCGGTTAAGCGTCCGACTTCAGCCAGGTCACAATCT